ATATAATAGCCTATTTATATTACAAATGCCTAATAAAATTTATCCAAGTAACACATGAAACAATACGAGAAAAAGAAAAAAATAATAACTGTAGTAGCACGATTTGTGTTTATGATGAGTGCGTCACCTGTTCTGCGGTTCTAATGTCCCTTATATTGATTGGTGGAATGTCTGAGAACGGCCCCGCCTTTAATCCAAATGGATCGCTCTGATTGGCTCTCCCACACGTCAGTAACATGGTTTGTCTCCACCTTCGTATCAGCGCTCTCAGGCCGTCCGTCTGTCTCGAAAACCTGTGATGAGAGTTTTAATAATGGCGTGGACGTGGTGGGAGGGCTGCCTTCCACTTTCTGCCCAATTCCGGTATCAATAAGCGGCTTTAAGGCACCAAAACCGGATTTTATTAGAGCCTTGCAAACATTTGAACGGGTTTTAACATGTTGCCTCACTCTGTTAAATCTCCGCTGAAAGCCTCCTTCACTAGCYGCAAACTGTGAAACTACTGACTGGAAGCGCTTTATCATGTCGTTACTGTGYGTCAGAGGTAAGTTTTTCTTTATACCTTTATATTTTTTACTAACCTTAAACTTTTAGAAACGGCGCGAGGGGTTTGGAAACAAATTGAGTTTGCAGGAGTCAGGTAACTGGTCAAAACAAGAGGAGGCATTCTYCCCAGGCGGAGTGATCCTTGAAAAGTGATTTTTAGGTTTTGCTTGATGAGATTTTGCGGTTTATAAGGGACAAACTAAGTGAAATATTAAAAAGACAGGGCATCTGTTGCTTTCCTTATTTGGATAGTAGTTTTATTTCCCCTTGGCAAGGTAAAGATACCAGCTGTTTGTGGTTTATACTGTTTACTTTAGCATATTACAGAAATATGAACACATAAAAGCCTTTTGTGTGATTAAAATCCAAGATGTGATTCCACTTTAGAGCTAGAAAGCCTATTATTAACTGATATTGTTTAAATATGTAACAAAAGGATCACATAAATGTTCATATTCTGTGGTTGTAAACATCAGGGATGATAACTGGCTTTCAGCCCCTTTGAAGAGTTTATTATGAAAGTTAAACAGAACATGAACATTTCACATATTTTATCTTAACATAAGTATAAATGACAGCTTTTATTGCTCAGATTAACAATTTATTTTAAAAAATGCATTCATTGGTCTTGTGCAGCTGAAGGCAAACAGAAGGGTGGGAGCAGCTTAGCATTATGTAATTTCCTGCTTTCTGAAAATAAAAATAAAACACTGATTTGGTCAGTGAGTGAAGAAAGAGTAAAAATGTGGCAGGTTCAAAACAAACAAACCATCTGCATTTTTTGTTTATAAATTTTAAATATGATTAAATGTCATTTGCATCACAACTGAGATTGATCAATTGGTCGACCAATTAAGTGCATCAGTTTTCAACTTTCATTCATCCCTGAGCCTATTAGGCTGATTAAAAGTTTGGCACATAAATGGTTTGGCTACATGTATACAAATTTTGTCATTTTACTTTCTATAATGGGGCTGATTTTTCAATTCAATTCAAAAATACTTTATTTGATCCCAGAGGGAAATTAGATACCCCAACACCCCAAGAAAAATTGACAATAATCTGCTACTAACTTATAGAACAGTCTTTATTTGCTGAGGAACTTTCCTTCCAAAACCATTTTTATTACATAGGCTGGATAGAAATAGGGGAAAAAAGCTTTGAATTACATTCATAATGAGCCTCTAATAAAAAGTGCATTGATCCTCAACCGACTCCGCAACTAAATCACAAGTAATTACTTTTATTACCTTTTACTGAAATCGAAGTAGACATTTTTATATGAACATTGAATTTATGGAAAGAATCAAATCTACTTCATAAATTATCCAAAAGCTTCCTTGATTTCTGAAATTACCATTGGCCATTAAAAAATAAAATAAAATAATCAACTTGAATATTRGGAATAATGGTTATCTACATTTTTAGAAAAGCATCAGCCCTAAGGTTGCCAACAAGTCTGTCTGGTGCATCCCTGATTGTTGGACTGGAGTCTACTGTTTTTCTGTAAGCTTAAAGGTCAACATTCATCATAACAGTCCCATGTGATCTTAACAGGTAATCACTATAGCAGAATATGATGGCTATATGTTTTTTTTTTTTCACATCTGGGCCATTTTAGTGTGGGAGAAAAAAGGTAAAATAAATGCCTAAATACCCAAGCACACTGCCAAAGAATGCCAATGGCTGATGTCACCAAAGAAGGTGCTACAGGCCTAACATATTCATGATGGAGAGCTATGGGAGTGAGCATGATTTAAGTAGAGAAAGTTCCAGTTGTTTAGAGAATATCTATGGAGATTTATCTGCAAGCCACGAGGAACCAAGTAGAGCTGTTTGGAGTGAAGTYACTGATCAATAAGGAGGTTCTAATCTGTAGGGATGACCACGAAAGCAAGGCAAACCTAGATTGACCTCCTCAGCTTCAAAACACCAACTGCTGCTAATATTTACACTAAAATAAAGTTTTTATTAAAAAATAATCGGACTGTAAGGACCATTTGTTATTAAACCCACTGGAGTCAGTAGATGCTCCAAATAACACAACGAGTTTGTCGTTGCAGAAGTAAGCACAACGGTTCTGAGGTTGTATTTTAATTTGTGTCAATAAAACAGATTTTAAACTTTTAACCAGTTTCTAAATTGTTCTAATAAGTCCTGTAAAACCGGAGTTATAATAAATAATTCACACTACACATTTTTTTCCCTGAATTATTGTCATGTTTGAAGCCAGTTGCCGCAGTAGGATAAAAATTTCGTTGTCTTGCTTTGTGGGTGGGCCTTACTTGACGTCACCGCCCATTTTTGGAAGGGGTTCCATTTTCCATCCATGGTAAGGAAAACTCACACAAATGCCTTTTTTTTTTTACTGATTTTGTGTTACTTTTTAACATTTGTGACAGAACATTTGTGTTTTTTTTTWATTATGTGTGTAGGATTGTACAGGCCACACAGAGATTGGAATTAAAATATCACTGAGCATTTGGGTCAGAGTGAGCTTTTATTGACTTAACTTGAGATTACAGTTGACTTCATTTTGGAACAGCTTGCAGAAGGACTTCAAACCTTTTAACTTTGTTGCCTTTTTCCCACCAGCAGCTATAAATCGTGTAACAGAAGGAAACCAGATTAAATGGTTGAGCTTAAATATCTAAAGCTTGTTTGAAAATCATCATTTGCTGACAGGCGGGATTTATTTTTGCAGCATATGTTTGACTGATCATCTTTCGTCAGCGAATCCTCCTTTGGATGTCAAAAGCTCCACGTGATTTTTGTTATATACATATTTTTTGTATGAGTGAAGTCATCTGTGTTCATCTCATCTCTAGTTTGATGAAAACAATTGCTTTGTGCCACAAAAACTTTAGGCCACATTTTATTTAACAAACTTCCTGTAATACCATCCAAGTTTTGCCTAAATCCCTCCACAATGTGATTGCACAACCAAGCAAACATTTACCCTCACAGTCTTAAGTTTCTTAAATACTCTTGCAAATGCATCCTGCTCTCATCCCATGCTGTTGTTATGGAAATGACGTAATCTCGACCTACGAACCTCCATTTAAAGTGAATTCCAGGTTACATGCAGGTTAACCAGAAGCACTTGGCTATTTATAGTGCTGTCAAATAGTCTTTTGTGTAAGGTTCCTGAAATTAAATGGCTTGGAAAGGCCAGTCATGATAAGAGCTAACCTAAAAGCCAACAAAAAGAGAGATTGTCACCTTTATTCTAAAAAGTCACAACTTTTGATGTGGGGAGAATWTCACAGATGAAATTCAGAAAAGTTTTCAAGTGACATAAAAAATATCCTTTTTAAAACAATAAATCTTCAACAAGTTTTGGACATTGGAAAGTCACACAGAATGAGAACTACAGGCTCCCACATGCTCGGTAGGGTTGGGCATAATCGTATTGTGTGCAATTAATTGCAAGAAAAAAAACATTAATCGATTTATTGTTTTGGCACTTGACAATTAATACGATTAATGCCACCTAGCAGACTGTCATCTTGGTGCTCCTCTCCGCTTCAAATATGACAAACATATAAAAAAAAGGTTCTGTAATTTATTTATCAACACAATTTAAAAKTTGATGCCTGAAGTCTGTAATTTTGACACAATTTGGAACAAGATTTTTACGAAGAGCAAATCTTTCCCACAAAATTGATCATGTGACAAAGACATAAGGGTTTACAGGGGATTAATAGTTAAATTAATCGTAATCAGCTAAATACCACAATTAATCGTGATTAATTTTTTTTGCCAATATTGCCCAACCCTAATGCTCAGGCATACTTAGCTCCACGGAGGCCCTTGCGGACTCGAATCGGAGATCCGCTGGACTGGTCCACGCAGAGATCACTTTTTTACGTCCAAATCCGCGGTGTCACACAATAAACTGCCAATATGACACCAAGCTGATAAAGTTGAGAATCGGTRTCATTTGTGGATGAACTGGAGTCAAAATTTGAAGAGCGTCTCATRGAGGAGATTAGAAAACTATATGACGTGTCGAAGGAATATAAGGACTTTTAGCGAGCAACAAATTTGTAGGAGGAAATAGCTCAGATTCTGGGTAAGGTAGTTCTTTTCTTTTGCTGTTTTAAAGCTAAAATGCAAACWYTCTTCCTTCTGATCCTTTTTTATTTTATTTTATTTACCGTTGTTTAACCAGGCAAGTCCCRYTGAGATCTCAAACCTCTTTTTCAAGGGAGGCCTGGGCCYGAAGGCAACCTATTGTACATGTTTTTAGGGGTGGGGGAAACCGGAGTACCCGAAGAAAACCCACGCAAACACCAAGAGAACATGCAAACTCTGAACAGAAAGACTCCAGGTCCRAATCAGRGATTGAACCCAGGACCTTATTGCTGTGAGGCGTCGGTGCTAACCACGACGGCTCAGACATCATGACTAAAATTGCGAGAAATTAAAGAATTTGTCCGGCRGTCAGTAYGCTCGAGTATGGTGTCAAACATCCGCGGACAAGGCTCATGGACCGCACACAGTACRCCTGGGTATGTGGGAGCCTTAATTTTCAGAAAACATWATGTTCTAGAAACAATCATTTTAAAACCACTTCAATGCCTCCAGGGGGCATTTTATTTTACTGTAGTCTTTTACTGTGCCACTTTGAGACAGTCTGTTTATTGATTAGTGAAACTAAATCCGATTGATTGACAGAGTGGCTGTGCAATTAGCTGATGTTGTGACTCATACCCTTATCACAGCAGCCTAACAGTGTTGCTTATTTATTGCTAGTTGAGATGCTTCCTCTCCATGGTGATGTCATTACACAATAGATGAGTGGTGACCCTTACATGTGGACATAGGGTGGGTGGGGAGGACGGCTTGCTGTGAATGTGGACAGGGCTGAGTGGATGGATAATGCGGTCCCCATGATGCTGTAGTAATGGGGACACATTTGATTTCATTACATGRGATCTGGTAGTGTCACAATCAGCTGTTGATTTAGGGGGAAAATTGATTTGTTGCACTGTTGTCACACAACAGCTTGTTTGTCTCATTAGAGTTTAAAGGGATCAAGGGATAACCACTTTTAGATAAATAATATGTACCATAAATAATTTACAGCCATGCTGTTAATAGTCACACACCACTTTTAATAACTATTGTCTGAATTGAATGTATGACTAATTATTTAATTAGACACTTTTTTTATCACTGACCTCAACAATGAGCCAGAGCTACCGATTGGAGGTCTTGGAGTGTCTCCTTGTTAGGGCTGGGCGATATGGCCCGAAAATGAAAAAAAAAAAAACAGTTTTTTTATCCCATATTTGATTTTCAATTTTAATTGATTTTGCTTCCCACTTAACGGAGCACCTCTGTTTCAGGTGTCGAAACAAATTTGTTGTACTCCTGCTTTTTGTAGCAAGAGCCTTCAAACAGATTTTGCAGTGAGGTGTTCGTTGCTTCAAGTCCGAGGTTGCAAAACCTAACCAGTTCCAGAAAACTGAATAAACCGTGCCTTTTTTGAGAAGTAGATCCTATAGCTGCCATATTGTCATGTCATGTACCAAGCCTCTCGAGGGACAGGTGGGGTGACCTCTGAACTACAGAAGCCCCAAAGAGTGCACTGGTAGAAAAAAAATCTTGATTTTCCCAAAATTGAATCTTTATAAATGAAAAATTGGAATTAATCGATTAAATCGATTTATCGCCCAACTCTACTCCTTGTGCACTGCAAAGCAAAAGAAGTAGAAGAAGATAAAAGCTCTTAGTTCAGAAGTAATGCAGTTTTCTCCCATTAAAGATTGTTTGCAAAATGAGAAAATCACAGAAAGCACTGAGATGATGCTAGCAATTCCAGTCCAGTTTTTTTGTGGCAGCAGAGCAGAGACTTGGCCTTCATATACATCCATCCCTATATTTCACTATTCATTATAGGGCTGGGTGATAAAATAATAACGATACACAGTATATCACAATAAACACCGGCTCAATATCAATTGAAAATACCTCTGATAGAATGTTGATAATTTCACTGTATTCCAATCCAGAACTGCATGGCATTCAAATATTTTATTCACTCTAGCTAGCAACAACCTGTTGAGTAATATTTGCAGTCATGTTTAGCCACTGTGCGTCTTAACTACTTAAAAATAAAAAAGAAGAAAATGAGTGCAATAGATCGACAGGAAAATGTGGATAAAAGAGGAAAGGTCACCAGTTAGGCAGTAATCCACCTTTTCGCTTCTTTTTTTTAAATTGGTAAAAAAAAAAAACCTAATCGATAATCTTGGAAATCACCTGATATGAAACACCTTTATTTTAAAGCTGTTTCACCCAGCTCTACTTGCATACTATTTCTATTAGCTGTGTGGCAGAATCAGTGGAGAAATTACCAAGAGATTCAAAGGATGAGAGGCAGAGGCCAAGCTAGTCCAGAAGTGATGGAGCTGCTGCTGCTGGGTGGTTGTGTCCAGCAGCAGTGTAGTGGAATTAAAGAGAGAGAGAGAGAGAGAGAGATCGCTTAGAGATTGCATGAGTAATCCTCTGCCCATCTGTTGCTCTCTTTCTCTTCAGTCCAGCAGCCAGCACAGAGTGGAATTAGAACACCACAGCAGTGGTTGTAGACCCTGACGTCACTTCCTGTTCAGACCCCACCTTCCACAGCCCATATTCCTCAAGGAAAATTCGTACTCTCAATTTTTGCCTAAATCTGAGAAGTGTTTATCTACCATCATTTACTTTTTACTGTATCATATTGATTTGAAATGTATATATTAATTAGATTATATTGATGAACTGACAATTAACCAAACATCCAATGGCTTTAAAGTTTCTTTACGTTTTGCCAATGATTATGAGAATTCCTATATTATTGTTATATTCAAAGTTACTGATGTAAATACAAAAATTCATTGCCATTATTTTATTTTCGTGTTTTTAAAATATGTTTTACTGTCACCATAATTTCATTTTTTTTGGCATTTTGACCCATATTAATTGTATTAACAAACAACAAGACATTAATAAGCCAGTTTGTGCAAAGCCAGWTTTTCAATTATCTTTAGAAGGAGCACAGTGATTTTTTGTGTGTGGTGGAGCTGTGCAAAAAGTATTTGTTTTAAAAAGCAGGAAAAAAAGATTCTTACCATTGCACAACAGAGAAATTATTCACTTTACCTTCTGTTGTAGTGACAATTGCAACAAAATGCCAACACAATACCCATTTTTGGTAAACGTTCATCCATTCTGTAGCTAAAATACTTCCACTTGAAGTTTTTTTTTTTTGGTCCAAATAATCTTCTTTGTTCTAATCTTTTATAAACCCTTCAGTGAAATGAAACGATAGATAAAAAGAACATAGGACAAACTGACTTCTTAGAATACAGCAAGCATGTTGTAGCAATAATGTCACTACACGCAGTAATTTGTGTTCAAAATGTACAATTGATGTATTATGCAACCCTAAAATTTAGACAAATTTAAGTGGGGAGAGAGGTCAAAACATCTGTTTATTTTTAAGATTATCTTTTGTTACTTGAACACATTTGGGTTGAAATGGAAGCAGATCTGCTGTCCTCTTTGGAGATGATGCAAATGAAAATAGAAGCTTGGATAAGTATACCTATCGTATTAGAACAATAAGCTCAAATGGAAAAAGATAATCATCTGTTTCCATCACAATGGCACTATATTTATTCCACTCATGGTCATTCAGTGCTCCACAGTCCTAAACAACATCATGCAAATTAGAACTTAAGGTCACTGTGCCAGCTCATTTACTTTAGTGGAAAACACCAAAAAAGAACTGCTTCAGGATTCTCTCAGTATCCCTATGAACGTGTCTGCTCCACACTGATCTGCAGGAAGTACTACAAGTAGAAGCCTTCTTCCCCTATGGGTTTTATGTACTCTCTTTTTTAAATATTAAGTTCCTACTTTCACTTATTACCATTTCCATTTGTAGTGAGAAACTATTTATTTGAAGAAAAAAAAAAGAAAGAAAAGAAAATCAAAAGACATATGTGACTGGAAGAATGAAAAGTGAGCCCAAACTTTCTYTTAACTGGTTCAATGTGCTCAAGTAGAGGGCAGAGGATGTTGGTGGACAAAAATATGAAAGTGCCATTTTTTGCCTTTCTGATCCGGTTGTGCCCATCTGGCATGTTAGGCTTTAGAGATTTAGGAGATTCTACACCTGAACACATAACCCGGCCACAGCAATCACAAGTAATCCCTTTCAAAGCGCTTTACAATCCCATAAACGGTATTGTATGGATTCATCAGGAAGCTAAAGATGAATATAAATAAACCCAAATGTGACAGCRAGTGTTTTCCCAACTTGGCCATTTTCAGAGGTCATAATAAATAACTGCAGTATTTTGTTGTGTGTTCTACCTTTCAATTCCCGTCTGCCTCACTTGTTCTATTGTTCTTTTATATTATTTAATTTATTTTTTTACCAGCTGTTATGTTGTGTGTTGCATCTGTTCAGGCTTATGTTTCAGGATTGTATTGAAATTGGTGTTTTGCAAGTGAAAAAGGGGAGCATGGTTTCCCAGAAGTAAGCAGATTTTTTTTAATTAGGAAGAACTCTCCAATGTGGATCTACTTTAAATAATATAACCATATTTGCAATATTTATATAAAGCTGCTTGTTGTGGTATTGTCACACCTGGAATCCATCCATCAATGCACTGGTT